GGGGCATTCATCAAAATAATATATTCTCCCCGGCGTATTCATCTAAACAACCCTAAAACTCCGTCAACTACGACGGAGATTCGCGTTTCTCCTCAGGACACTCATCGTGCCCCGACCACAAATCCGAAATAAACGGCGAAAATAAAAGAAAGGAGGAAGAAAAACTCATTTTATAAGCGGCGGTTGACAGAATGCAAGACGGACGGCGCGACGGTGATTCACGGCAATGGCGGACGGGGCAGAACTACAGAGCTTCGTGAGTGAAAAGGAAAGGTGAAAAGTAAAAAGTGCGTGGGGACTCCCATATTTATAACCTGGCGCGGAACTCGAAGCGGCACTAGGCCATTGAGTGCCCTAGGGTAGTCGCCCTCACACCCACTCAATGTGTGACACGTGGCAGTAAGCTGACAGTCACGTCCCTTCAAATGCCTTTGCCCCGCGCACCCGGCGACATGGAGAGACCTTCGCGCACACGCGCCCCGCCGAACACGAGCCGGCGGAGTCCCGCACCCCGCGACATTCTTCCCCGGAGCAACGTTGTCAAGTCCTCGCTCTTCCACCGAAGAGCTTCGACTTGGGGGGCTCCTGTTCTGGCCTGGCCCCCGGCCTCACCTTGCGGCCCAGCCCAATGATACGCAATAAAGGCCCAATATGGTTTAAATAGGCTGACCGAGCACGTGACCCCTCGACGGGCAGGGCATATGCTCCCGTCGAGCAGAACAGCGCGCCTCAGAACGCCCTCTGCGCTCTCCCCTCCGCGGGGAGGCGCTGTCAACCACTGTCCCTCGTCAGGCAGAACAGCCCTTCGCGGGCAGAATCCCCATGCCAACGAGCAGGACAACATGTCTCCCCTACGCCCTCATGTGCTCCCCTCCGCGGGGAGAACAACACACCTTCGGAGAACCTCACGAGCTCCCCTTCGCGGGGAGATTAACGTGTCATTCACACGTTCTTCACGTGCTCCCCTCCGCGGGGAGATTAACGTGTCATTCACACGTTCTTCACGTGCTCCCCTCCGCGGGGACACGTCACCAACCAGCTGCCCACCTCCGAAAGAGCAGGTCAAACCCACTTTCCGGAGATCACGGGACAGTTGGACTAGGGCGAAGACCACGTCCTGGTCTTCACTACGCCACGTAAGCCCTAGCAGTCACCTGGGTTGGGCCTGGCCATCCAGCCCAACACAAGTGACCGTTGGCCCAGCGTTGGGATCTCTCTATAAATACCCTCTTTCACAAGAGGGTCAGGTAATTCACTTCTTACCCCTTTTCTGTACTTGTGATCACTCTGCCCATATACTTACTTTGACATCGGAGTGCCTTGCAGGTACACCCCCTCCTCCTCCTCATCACCGATGAACAGACAACAGTCCAACAGAGTGTGGCCAGCCAGTGATCCCCTTCTGATCAGGTCAGATGATATATATATATATATATATATATATATATATATATATATATATATATATATATATATATATATATATATATATATATATATATATATATATATATATATATATATATATATATATATATATATATATATATATATATATATATATATATATATATATATATATATATATATATATATATATATATATATATATATATATATATATATCATGATTGAATGGGAAGTGTTTCAATAGAGGTTTTTAAAAGCTAATTACAACATGAAATTGCAGATCAAAAAGCAATTGAGGAAGATTGCATATCGAGAAACCAAGTTTTTTAAACCACCACTGCAATTGGTAAAAATCAAGGGTGCTACTAAGAAGGTCAAAGCAACACAGAGTGACAATTCAACGATGCAATCTATGTCCTATTTCAAACATGTTGACACACTTTTTTCAGATTCTCCAACTTTAAAATCTAAAAAAAAGAAGTGTGTTTAAAGGTTCTCGCATCACCAAATCATCTCCTTCACCGCCTTTACCAAAAATCATACACATTGAAGAGATGTCAATTTTTATGCACAAATACATTGAACGCGTTGTAGAAGTTAAGAGTGACGGTAATTGTGGTTATTGTGTTGTTTTATCTTTGCTCGGTAAAGGAGAAGAGAATCATGCACTTGTCTGCCAACAACTTCTCAAAGAGTTGAATAAGCATAAGGAATCATACACAATGCTATACGAAAAAAAAAACACTTCGGTGCAATTTCAGAATCTCTTATTCCTTATGTTAGCGATTCAGCACCGTAGAAAATGGGTGTGCTTCCGTGGAATAGGTCATCTTATCGCAAGTGCATATAATAGGATGTGTATTGATCTAACAAGATATGGATTCTCATAAATATTTTTTTCATTATGGAATGACTCATCTCAAAATCCAATCTGACGCATTATGTGTATTGTATGACTTTCAAAATCACTACATTTTGTTGAAGTTCTTTTGAAACAAGAATGTATTTTACCATGGATATCACCGGAGTGGACGACTCATTCCATAAAGGAAGTTGAATCTTGGCCGAATAACATTTTGGATAGGATAGAAGAATTCACCAAGTTGATAGAAATTGAAAGAGAATCAAATAAGAAAAAATGTCAAAGGTGGAACCATCCATTTATAGATTTAGGTGGTGACACATATTTTGTATGTAATTTTGGAGATATTAAAGATTTAAATTGAATACATTTTGATACATTTTAATGTCTAGATCAGTTTTCTAAAATTTTGTAGCTTTTTGTGCTTCGCAACAGGTTATGTTTACATATCTGGTTTTGTATGAACAGTTAAGGGTGAATCCGAAAATATACTTTTAGACACACCCTATTTTCTATATAAAAAAAATCTAATATCGGTTAATTTGAAACTAATACACCATGATTTTACAAACAAAACATAGTGTATCCGAAAGTACTGGAATATCCTTTAAGACAAGATTAAGTATATAAAATCCATTATTCATAGCTCGCTTTTGTATACTTCAACGACGAGTGACCCCCCTCTTAAGTTTAGGTTCACATAGATCATTCGTCTTGTCGGTCTAAAATCCACACTAAAAAATATGTTGCGCTACCCAAACAATTGAAAAATTGTGAAGCTCACTTATCGTTCACCCTCGATTGAGAACATATGAAATATATAATTTAGCAAGTTTGAGCTGAAGACGGAGAACATATGAAATATATAGTTTAACAAGTTTGAGCTGAAGACGGATGTTATGTGGAGTATATTTAGACGGATTTTATGTGGAATATATTTTGATGGATGCTATATGGAGTATATTTCATCATAACAAAACGAAAGGTTTAATCGAGGTGGATGCAAAGCTTACGAGATCGACCGGAAATATTCTAAAGATGTTTAAACGTCCTCTATCATCACTTAATGATGAAACATAATGTTAAATATACATTAACAATTATCACTTAATGATGAAATATAATGTTAGATTTACATTAACGATTATCTATGTAATATTACATTTTTAATGTATGTCGTCATAACTATGATTAATGTTAATTTTTGTTAGTTTTTTTTTCATGTGTTTTTGATTTGAGAAACACAACAGTTTCCAAAAACATTTTGAAAATTTTGAACTTTTCACAAAGAATGTGTAAGCACCACTAAGAATGCGAAAAGTAATTTTCCAAAAACATTTTGAAAATTTTGATCTTTTCACAAAGAATGTGTAAGCACCACTAAGAGCAACTTTAGTGCAGGGTTGTTAAACCAAAATTCTTTATAACTTACGTTAGTAATAAAGAATTTGCATTATAGTAGTGCTGACATGGCATATGGGATGCTCTAAAACTAGTTTACGTGCTCTACACAAGCAACGTACTCTAACTCATTATTTAACATAAATAATAAATTTTTATTAATTATTTAACATAAATAATAGATTTTTATTAACCATTTAATACCATGTGGGGTCAAGTTTTGATTTCTTATAGACAACCACCATTAAAGTAAAAACTACTTAAATCAACTATAAATTTTTTAAATCCTACAAATCACTTTGGTCCCACAAAAAGTATCTTAGTTTACCCATTTAGTTTACTCCCACTAAAGATGCTCTAAGAATGCGAAAAGTAATGTCCCTTCCTTTTTGAGACTTTCATTACATATGGGTCATTTATTTCAGGACAAAGTACCCATATACGGTGCTTAATTTCAAAAGGTAAATTTGCAACATTGGCTATCATAGGTTTTATTTGGTACAAATACAAGAAAGGGTTTGTAGTTTAAACGATTGTTATGCATATTTTGATGGGAGAAAAGAATTTAAAAAAAAAAAAGGTCTATTTGATCATTATCAAAAGTGAAAAGCGGTAAAAGCACTTTAGAAACACCATAACCATAAAAGGATTATGAAACACATTATAAAAAATCATAGCATCTGATAGACAGTGAATTTGGTATTGTAATTTTGTTGTAATTTTATTGAAGCTCTAAAGTGCAACTTCTGACAAAATCGAGATGTCTCATTGAAATTTTGTTAATCTCACCATAAATCCAAACACACTTAATTCATTGGGGTTTAAATGTCACACAAAAGGCAATCGAAAGACATGTGGGGCAGCAAACACCCCAAAATCAGACTTACTAGTAAGCTTGCTGTAGGAATTTTCCAAATTTTCGTGGTCGGTCATTAAAGCTCTGCGAGGGAAATGTTACTTGTCACTTGGGTCTGTTTGGTCCATTTGGTTGTTTGACAATAGGCAAGAATTTTAATAAAGGAAATATGCAAATTTTGTGCAAATTTTAAACAAAGAATTCCTCTCCTTCAAATTATCTCACTTTTGGAGGTGAGCTTAAAACTGGCTCAGAGAGAATTTTTTTCTCCCCCTCCTTTCCCCTAACTAAAGAAAATGGGCCCAGGTTTGTTCATCATGTCGGTGTTTTCGATAGAAGAAAAAAAACAAGCTCTTCAACACCCCATCCTTCATGTTCAATTCTATAACAATCATTAGAAACCCAAAAAACTCTTCTGAAATTCAGAAGATGAGTACCTCAATTGAACGGAATATAAAACTAGAGAAGAGACTACACATTTTGTGCTTCTTTTGAGCTCTTTCTGGACTTGTGCTTTGATTTCTTCTCCCTCTTCTTTCCCCTGTAAGGAAATCCAAAATTATTATATAATAATAAGAAAATCTCTCTCCAAAAACATATGTTGGGTCCCTAGTGTTTGTGTGTAGGTGTGTAGGGTGGGGAGGTGTAAACAACTAAAGGCAACTCCACATCAAAGGGTAAAGAAATTACTCGTCATGACCCCAACAAGACTTCAGTTTCCGGTCGATATGCTTCAATTCTTTCTCTGATGGACTTGTGTATTTTCTAACCTGCATATATATAGCCAAGGCCACATTGGTCCATGTAAACAGAATAAGACAACATTACAAAGCTAATTCAACGTGGAAATTTGGAATTACACGTCAATAATTCAGTTTTGCAACAACTACTAGGATGAGAAACAATTACCCAAGAGTCAATTGCATCCAATGATTCAAGAAGTTCGTCCATTGTGTGTGTAAAATTCTTATGGGAAAAAACTCTGCTCAGAAAACTGCAATTATGTGCCAGTGTAGGAGTAAATGTCTCAGTAGATACGTTAATTTGGGTCAAAAAGAACAATATTAAAAACCAAACACCAGGCTCGTCATTTTGTTGTTGCATGATTATGAAACAAATTACAGCTAAAGGAAGCGGATTATAGGGGCTGGGGATGATTATCACAAAGAAACATGTGAAACAAGTACCTATCAAAGTCGACAACTTTATGGAGTGCATTTGAGGTACGTAGGGCGGCCAAGGCCAACTGCATTAGGATGAAACAGACTATTGTCACAAAAAATACTAAATGCAACAATAGAGTTACAAAATTTACAGACTATTCTGAACATACCTGCCCAGGAGTAAATAAGAGTGGTGCATCTGTAAGCATCATTTTATCAACTTCCCGCCCTGCCGTATCTTGCAAAGCCTAAACAGCAGGAGAAAAAATTATCATGAAACAAGTAGCTATTTGTTTATAACCAGAGAAGAACAAGAGTTGAACAGAAAGAAATAGTGCTTCATAAGAGAAGGTAATAGAGGAAACAAGCACTACATTACATGAACGCTCATATATATGGGAAGGTATTGGGTGAGAGCCTGATCATTCACATAGGATTGAACGGGAAATGGATCCTGCACCTCTCACTTGATACGTTTTGTATGTGTTTTTTTATTGGAACATTCTATGGTGCCTTTTGTGTTCAAGAGGGCATTGGTACATTCGACCATTTATTGCATTAAATTGAAATATAAATTGTTGCAATATATTACAAGTAGACAAGACGCATGGATCAAGGGAATGAGATCATCTACATTTAGAAAGAAACTGCATGATGTGCAGTTCTCTATGCGACATTTACTTCACCTATTGAGTAAAAGATTTTTATGGTCTGAGATTGCCTACAGTTCTCTAAAAACTTAAAACAATCTCCATCCTGTTGAATTAGAATACTTACACCTTCAATAACTATGTAGAAATCAAATTAAATCAATCCATTTGTTGAGTTGTCCAATATTACATATGACCATGTAACAATTTATACATTCATTGATATATATTCTAGTAGTTGATATTTACATATATTTTAAATAACTTATTAAATGTTGAATTAAAAATGAAGTGATAAAATATCAAATAATATTTCAAAAATTTTAGACTTGATCTACTTTATAGTATCTCTCAATTCAACGATCGGATTGATTTAATCAATCTTTTACAAAGAGTTTATTGAGAGTGTCAACGGATCCTGCACACATGACCACAACAATATGCTCTCGGTCTGATGGTTATGCTGGACAAAAATACTAGTACCTTGAATTTTGGAAGCTCATCCTCGCCAGCATTGCAAACTTCCTGTCAATGATCAGAGTCACAAGTTCCAATTCAACAAAAAATCATTAAAAAGGAGTTAATGGTAGACAAGTCATAGAACTATCAGCCAAAAATAAAATGAGAGAAAGCAAGATTTATTTTGAAATGCACAAAATTGTAGATATTTAAAAAGAATTCCACACAACCAATTAGACGAACCTCCATATAATCTATAAAACCTTCAACCGAGCGATATGGAGCATAAACTATAAGATCAAAATCCAGACTCTGCATAGCAACGGTTTCTTGTCAGATATGAATTTAAAATATTTAAAAAACTTTATAAAAATAAAACAAAATATAAATAAATAAATAATTAAAAAAAAACAATTTGATATTTGAGGCCTATTCGTGCCTGATAAACTATCATCTCATTATTGAGAATCATTTGATGATCTTGCGAAATCCCCTTACCAAGCTCCTCAGCCGATACATGATTTTCTTCTATCTTACAAGCAGCATATATGCAGGTCAACCTGTACAGAAGGTTTTCTCTGAGTAGAAGCTAATGAATAAATACAACCTTTCGTAGATAATAAATGAATCACACAAATCCAATGCCAACTTTGATGAAAGTATATTAAATCTGAATATTTCTCATCATTCATAAACAATTTACCGGTATATACATACATCCAAGAGGTAGGGCAAACACAAACACATTATGGGATCAAATCAGAACAGCATGAACAAGAAGGAATCTAGGATCCTAACAAATAAATAAAATAATAAATACAAAATATATTATACAATCATCACCAGTCACAAAGCCAATCAATCATGATTTCATATAAAATAAGTATTCAGTTCAAAGATATAAAAAGATTAATGAAAAGAGAAAACTGATAACCAAACCATCTCTCAGAAGTGCATCATCAGGTGCAATATACATCAACCAATTTCAACATTTTCAAACAATTAATAAACTAAGTACGAGTTCACCAAATTGACCAGTGAGTCTGAATTCCTACTTAATCAACGAAACAAGTGCAGTACATCATTAGTCAAAACTCAAGAGGTCCTCACAAGGACTAAAGCAAATCTTACATTATATTTTTTGGTTGATGTTCCATCACCGACCATTGTAGATAGAACCTTTTAAAAAATATGAGAGCTGTAGCCTGTGTATCATAAACTATTTCAAAAGGTTGACTACAAAGAAACAGAGTTGCCGAAATTATTCATCAACACAGACAACTTCACAGTTAATTTACAATACCAAAAGAAGAGCTGCCCTACCTGGATCTTATGAGGGAAGTGGAAATTGTTGCACACTTCTTGTAGCTTGATTTCATAAAACACCTTCATACATCGTTCTTCTTCATTACTAAGAGGTTTTACCCGAGAATGTTTTTCAGCTGCCAAGAAATACAACTCTTGTGAGCAGTAGAAAATAGAAGTTCAAAGAAATAATGGGAGAAAAATAATTTTCACAGCACTTAAATACTTAAAAGACATAATGCTTTCCAGACAACTGAGTAGGAAAAGGACAATAAATTTCAGAAATAACTTTACCACTATCACTTGCAGTTGTCTGGGGTTCAGGATATGACAAAGACCCGTTACTATCTACTTCCATTAGAGTTGCTCCACACTTTAAAATAAATCAATACTAATCAGCAACCCAATAATAAGCTATCAAGTTATATCATATTATGATTACGATGAAATTATTCTTTTGTAGGAAATAAGAGAAAAGAAGTTACAAGTGAGGTTACAACACCCAAGAAAAAACAAAGCAACAAATAAGCAAACAACCATGGTCCTGAAAGCTTTCATGTTGAAATGCTCATCAGTTTACAAAGACATGTACAAGGAAACTCTGAGTACCTTCTCTAGGGTTTGTCTGGCTCTCTGATTAGCAGCTGTATATTTCTCAACCTAAAACAAAAATAAATACAAGAGAAGATTTATTTTTGAATTGTGCACATGATAATGATAAGAGAAAATTGAAACTAGTAATAAATCAAAATTCTCCATCCAACCTAGTATCTAAATAAAGCATTTGTATGAATCCGAGCAGATAAATAAGAGCAGCAGTCTGCGAAAGGTGTTGTGCATTGTGACTTCAAATGAATTGCAAAGAAAGAAACAAAACAAGTACCAGTTGCTGTGGAGAAAAGATCCACCTTGCTCGGTGGGTAGATGTCTGAAAATCAGCCATGGTCAAATAGAAACCCTAAAATTTAAATAGGAGCAGACTCTGCTTGATTCTTCAAGCAGAGAGCAGGCGAAGTCTGTATACTGCTCTCAGTGTTTAATCACAGGCAGTGCTCAAGCTGAAAAACAGACAATATAAGTTGTTATTGCGCTTGGCAAGCATGACAAAAGCAACCATTAATAGAGCGAAATACAAATTTATGATTATCAAACAGGGTGATGCTAATGTTGGCGAGAAACCACTGGAACATTTTATCGAACACGTGGTGTGCCTATGTGAAACAAATAATTGAGCTACACAAAATCAAAAGAGATGGATAAATTCAACACAACAAAGAAATGAAAGAAACAAAACCAGGAGAAAGAGAGGGGAATTGGATCTTTATCACCGATGTCTTCAATAACTCCCTTGCAATGTTAGGTCCGGTGAGAAGGAAGTTGAAATAGAGGAATGTATAATTATAGACCAGTTTTTGAAGAGAAGAAGATTGGTGAAATAAGTTTGAAAAAAATTGGAACAAGAGTTTTCTTCTTCTTCTTTGTTTATCTTTGTTTAAAGAAAAACGTCGAGAACCGGGAGATGAGGGAAGAAGTGTAATTGTGAATTGGGAAGTAGGGGATTGTCAGAAAACATGAGAGTGCGGGTGCGAGAGAGAAAAAAAGTGCTGTTCATTTGATAAACTAGTGGAATACCTGTATATTCACACAAATACCAGTGATATTTGTTTTAAAATTTAATAATAATAAATTATTTAATCAAAAAAATTTATTATTTTTAAAATAAATTTTTTTTTATATTTTTAAAAAAAATCTTTATGCAATTATTTAATTTAATGAAAATTAATTAATAACATAATATTTATAAATATTAATAATATAAATAAACACATTTTGTCGTATTTGAATTCAAACATTTTGAATATATTTAATTATATTTTCTTTAATTATACAAAAAAAAATATAATATCCTGAACATTCACACGGATTCTAGTGTGGATACTCGTATATTGACACGAATTTTGGTTTAAATATCGTCGCTCGCACGAGTATTAATGTGTTACGTGTATTTGTTTTTAAAATATAATAAGAATATAAAAAAAAAAAAAAATTAATTTATCAAAAGAGTTTACTATTTTGAAAAGAAAGACATGTTTTGATTTTTATACGGATTATAAATATAATTTTATATACAAATATTTGGATAAACCATATATTTTTCCGTATGTAAATATTAATTTTTTTATATTATTTATAAAAATATTTATACACTCATTTAGTTTTATAAATATCAACTAATAACATAATATTTGTAAATATTATTTTAATTGTATAAATAAGTATTAGTAATATAAATAAAAATATTTTGTCAGTGTTTTAATTCATACATAATTTCTTATATATTTATGTTTATCTTATTTAATTATACAAAAATTATAATAACTGTTTGCACGGAATTTGATTTGTATACCCTCGCGTTTACGCGCATTTGTTTCTAAAATATAATATAAATGGTATTAAAAAAATTAAATTGGTCAAAAAAAAATTATTTTTATAAATAGGCATTCCATTTTTTTATTTACCCAAAATAACTTTATTTTATACTCTTTTTTTAAAATTTTAGTATTTTTTTAATATTTATCAAGCTCATATTTATTATCTTTAATGCATAATAAAATGTCTAACTAATATATATATATATATATATATATATATATATATATATATATATATATATATATATATATATATATATATATATATATATATATATATATATATATATATATATATATATATATATATATATATATATATATATATATATATATATATATATATATAGTTTTAGACTGGGTCGACGCTTAGCCCACAACCAAGCAGGCCCAAACCTCAATGACGTTGGGCCCAAGAATACCACGCTGACGGACAGAAGTCCCGTCGAGCACCACCTCTCCCCGTCGGGCATAGGCCAACAGCTGTCGGGCAGGTCCCTCACAACCGATCAGTCAGCCTCTTTCTCCTCTGTGGTCGGGCAGAGTCCAATCTTCCCGCAGAGCTCCTCGGGCTGCCCACACGTCCTCCACGTGTCCCTCACGCAGGGACACGTCATAAAGTAACTACCCACGTCCTGGAGATTCGGTCTTCCTCCTCTCGGATAGTGCGGAACAGTTACCCTAGAGCAAAGACCACGTACTAGTCTTCACGATGCCACGTCAGCCTTAGCAGTTACTAACATTGGGCCTGGCAGCCCAGCCCAGTGTTCGGTAACCGTTGGCCCTGCGCTGGGGGCTCACTATAAACACCCTTTTCACTAGAGGGTCAAGTAACTTAATTCTCTTACTCTCTCTATGTACTTGCTTCCACTCTACTCGTCGCTTACTTTGGCATCAGAGTGTGTTTCAGGTACACCCCTTTCCTCCTCCATACCTTCGGTGGACAGCTAGCAGATCAACGACGCGTGGCAGATCATAGATCTCCTCTGGTCAGGTACGATCAATGGTGCCGTCTGTGAGAATCTAAGCTTCCCCGTTCCTCCGAGCAGAGAACCAAAGCTTCACCTCTCAAATCTCAAGATCATGACTAGCTAACGCCATGATGACGTTGTTCACAACTCCACCATCGCCCCGATCACCAACGGCTAAAACCAGTCGGGGACGTCTCAACCCCGCGAGACCGACGTCAGGGACGGCCGAACTGCTTCTCCCTCGTCCGAGGAGGTTACACACCATGTTGTTCCTCGGGCGAGGAGTCCAGCGGTATTCCAGCCTATTCCCACACCGGCTAGAGCGAACACGACGATGGCTGCCCTCTTCACAGCCATCAGCCAGACGAACCAGATGTTGTTCCAACAAAATAAGCGCATCGGCACGCTGGAACACGACACCTTGTCTCACTCCCCTCCGCGAAGAAATCAGCGCGGGAACTCTCGAAGCCCCTCTCCCCAACCACGGGGGCGCCGACCACAGCTGGAAAGGCCCCAACCCATGGCCTCCAAGAAGCGAGACAGGTCACCATCCCGGAAGGAGAGGCGCTTCGCGGAGTCTAGGGCGAGCAGGCCTGAAGTTCCGGCCAGAAGACCAAGGGGGCGTAACCTTCCTCCTCGACACGAGTTGTCGCCTCCACAATCCCTGACTCGTAGCGACGAGGACGATTATCGAACTCCCCTGTCACGGGAAATCATGGTGACCCCTGTCGCTACTGCGAAAATCGGCGCCGGCAGAACAGAAGAGTCGTCACCGTGCGTTATTTATCCCACAGGAGGGAAAGGAAACGCTCAGAGTAAACCTACCGCAAAACGGGAAAAGGAATGGCCATCGCAACCAAATCCTGGATTCGGGAGTCGGTTACGCAAGGGGAAGGTATTAGCACCCCTCACGTCCATCGTACTCGATGGGATCCACGCTTGTTTTCGGGTATGGATTGTTATTTCTATCTACTCTACAGGTCAGGGGTTAAAAGAAAATAAAATGACTCGGCAAAGTATCGCACTTTATGCCTACGTATTCCCGTCTGGAACGAGAAATCAAAGTCAACGTAGTTCGCCTACCTACTGGAAAGGAGGGGAAGGTTGCTCGCTAGGATATCGCATCCTATGCCTACGTACTTCCACACTGCATGGAAGATCAGAGCAAACGTAGTTCGGGCCACGTACGACACAAGTCTGTCTTGATTGTCTTTAGTCCTTCTGAAAAAGGTTTTCCTGATTACCGGTCCAAGCGGACAAAAATGACGTTTTGATGAGTTCACATTCTTTTACGGAAGAAGTGTCCTTTATTGTGTTTGAAATTTTATTGTACTTTTCTGTTTGTTTTGAGAAAGAAGAGACAGAACTCTAACCTACGGTTGCGAAGGGAATCAAACTAACCTAATATTATCATGCATGGGTTAAGACCTAGTGTCTATCATGTTCCTCTCTTGCGCAGAGAGAAACAGAGATCCTAAGGGAATAGACGGAAACAGAAACAATAGCAGATATATATAATAAAGCAGTAAAATGCATGGATGCAGCAATACAAGCGAGGCAAGGGAGTTTCACTCAACCTCGAACCTAGAAAACAATAGGCAAAAGTGAACAGAATTCACTTTCCACCCAGCAGGGTAAACAGCAAACAATACAGTCAGGGAAAACCAAACAATACATCAGGAAATAAACAGCAAAAATAAACAGCCACAGCAACTCTGCATCAACATCTGACTTCAAGTCATTTCCAATCAGCTACAAGCTTCAGCAAGCCTCAGTCTTCATCTCCACAACCTTCAAGCAAGGTCTTGATTATCAGTCTTCAATCTGCACTGGCTTTTCTTCAAGTCTCAATCTCCAAGCTGAGGAATCAATCACAAGAGTGAATTAGGTGTTAAGCAATTAGTTGACCACCAAAGGTGGCAAACAGACTGCTAACAACACATAGAATATCTCTCTCAAGAGTTCTATCTCTTAGACACTATCACCAAGCCTTCCAAAGGAAGGGGGTGAATGTCTTAGAGAGACTCTGCATCACAAAGAGGGATGGAGGCAATCAAGACCTTCCATGTTTATGAATCAAGTTTGCTACTCTAGAGCTCTGCCTAGCTCCTAAACCCTATAGCCTTCAACAGCTGCCAGCAAGAATCTCCTCATCAACTCTGGAAGTTGGTCTTCATTCTCTTGATCTCCAATGGCTTCATCAACAAGGTCTTCAGCTCTCCCAATCCCCAAAGCAATCCCAATACCCCATACAGACAAATGAAATAACCCTAGAGAGGGCACACCACACAGTCAAACAGATATAGACAGTATACTAATAGCAGTAGGGGAATCCTAATATTTTCTAAGGGATCTAATATCTACCAATAATCCCTATAGTCCCATACCCCAAAAATTCAATCTACAACTTCTAAGGGAAATGATTTAATTCTCCTATGTTATCTCCTAAACCCTAGTTTTGATCATGTTATTCACACCTAAACAAATCACCTAAAATTAAGTTCTAAAAATGTGAACTAAATTTTATATACAAGCTAACA